AACAACAACAACAACAACAACAACAACAACAACAACAACAACAGCAACAACAGCAACAACAACAGCAACATCATCAGCAACAACAACAACAGCAACAGCAACAACACCAACAACAACAACAGCAACAACACCAACAACAACAACTCTCGCAGACTAAGACTCCTCAACAAGAACAAGGTTCAGGGGCTAGTCCAACTGTGCAGGGTATGTATAGTACACCTCAGGCCCATGTCGCTAATGGCACTCCACAGGCATCCGGGATGTCTCTTACCGGACAGATGCCGGGCAATGCAAACAGACCACAGTCACAGAGTATGTACCACGCTCAGATGCTGTCGCAACAACAACAAGCACAGAAGCTACAGGGTCAAGGTATGTATCCAGGGCAGACACAAGGAGGCCAGAGCCAGCTAACTACAGGCGCACCGATGATGCACGCTGGTAGTATGACACCCGGAAGACCTCAGCAGATGCAGCACCAGGGACAACCGCAACAGCAACCACAACCGCAACCGCAATCGCAAAGCCAGTCTGAACCGCAAACACAAACCCAGAAAACCCAGTCACACCAACTACAACCACAAGCACAACAACAGGGGCCGATGTACACACAGCAGCAACGAGAGGAGGCGCTTTCTCAGCAGAACGAGCGCACGCGATGTGATAAATTACTCGAGACATTTAACGAGGAAGTCCGGAGTATGCAAGAAATGCTGGCGCAAGGCAACCTCGCGCCGGCTCGGGTGAAGGTGATCAACGACTCTATTCGCGATAAGAAGAATATGGCTGTGTCACTTCGGCAACGGTTGGCGAACCTTAAGAAGCAGCAGGAAGCTGTGGGGGGTGGTGTACAGATTGCGAGGATGGGTAGTGAAGCGGGTGGGAATGATATGCACAGTATGGCTCAGGGGTCATATGACATGCAGGGCCAAGCAACACAGGGGAATAATCAAACACAGCAACAGCAACAGCAACAGCAACAGCAACAGCAACAGCAGCAGCAACAGCAACAGCAACAGCAACAGAATCAGCAACAACAACAACAGCAACAACAACAGCACCAACAGCAGCAACAACAGCAGCAACAGCAGCAGCAACAACGGCAACAACAACAACAACAACAACAGCAGGCTAGGTTTGGTGGCGGAACACCCACACCCGGAATGACGGGATACATGAACGCACCGAATACCAGTACTCTCAATATGGATACCAACCAACAGCTGCAGAACCGTGGACAAGGGCAAGGTATGCCAGCACACGGTCAGAGACCACCGTTCTCGCCAACGGGGTTCTACGACTCGCTATCACCTATGTCAAGCGGGATGGGGACGCAAGTAAACAGGGTTGATAGTCCGTCCAAGAAAAAACGGGGCAGGCCGAAGAAAAAACCCGGGGACCCTGTGTCCAAGCATATGAATCCCAAGAAGAAGAAGGATGGCACTAAGGCCTCGAAAGCGGGCGGTAAGAAAAATGGGGACAGTAAGAAACAGGAGCCACCAACACAGCAGCAGAGCAGTGCGATGGGGACGCCGGGTGGCGTATCGGAAGTTAAAGCGGATTCAGTGGTGAATGCCGGTGCTTATCAGGCCCAGGGCGGGCAGATGGGGCTAAACAGTGGGTCAGGGGTGTACATGAACAGTAATAATAGTTATAATAGTGATAGTAAAGGCAGCAACGACCTGCCGCAGGCTCAGCAGCAACAGCAACATAGGCAGATGCAGATACAGTTGCAAATGCAGCAACACCACCAACAGTACGCCCAACAAGGTATATACTCGTATCAACAACAGCAGCAACACCAACAATTCCAATCCCAGCAGCAGCAGCTGCAACAGCAACACCAGCAACACCACCAACAACAACACCAACCAGGAACCCCACAATCGATGCAACAGGGTCCGCCACAGGCACAAACACCGCACAATCCAGCGATGCACGGACAGCAGGGCCAGGGGTTCAATCAGCAACAGCCCATATCGAAAGCGAATATAGTCCAGATGCAAAACAGCCAGGTGGACGTGCAGAAACTATTTTCAGGCCCGGGCACACCCTCTGCGAATCAGCAACAGGAAGCCGGCATGATGGCAGCAACCGCGCTCAAGGCCAAAGCGGTTGCCGAAGCTGCTAAAGCCAAGGCAGCCGCGGATGCGGCCAGGCTGAAGCTAGAACGAGAGGCCAAGGAGAAAGCTCAGCGCGAAGCAGAGGCTAGGGCAGTTGAAGCTCGCCTGCGCAAGGAAGCCGAAGACGCACGCCTGGCGGCTATAGCCGAGAAGCAACGTCTCAAGGAGGAGGCTGAGCGTGCTGCGTTGGTCGAGAGAGAGGCGAAAGAGGCTGAGGAACGCAGGAAACGGCTCAAGCAGACCAGGGCCAGGGCGGGGGCGGTGTTAGGCGAGGAAGTACTGGGGATTATCAACCCCAGTGAGGAGATGCTCAATACGTATGTTGTGACGCGTGTGTATGTCCTGTTTTGGGGTTTTGGGGTCTAGGGGTGTTATGGCGCGTGCCAGCCTTGTTTACATGCGATTGTGGGCGGTAGGGTGCTGGGTGCGACTTCCACCACAAGCACATGTGAGGGAGTGTTTTCGAAGATGTATACCCAAACTTGTGGGCATAGGTTGTTCGGATTATCTGTTGATGGTGTATGCTCGATCGTATTAGATCAGAGATTTCCCCAGGACTTTTGGTGCGTGATTCGGTAAAGAGCAATAATATGCCTTTCTTCCATTAGTGGCTTTTGTTTGGATGCATGCTGGGTGGCTAGTTCTGTCGTGTCACACACGCCTATATCGCATACGCATGAAAATCCACAGAGCTCTCAATATATATCTTTAAGAATATATGTATCTATGCCTGTATAGCATATCACTAAAAAAAATATATATTCTTCGCTGTACAGGCCGTTCACGTCGTACACAGACTGTTTCAATCGTCTCAAAACGTACACTCTAGCCAATCACGAGCCGCGACTGCCGACGCAAGAAGACAAAAAATATATGAGTGTATGCATAGATGAGTTGTACGCTTGGGAGAGGAGGTTACACGGAAGGTTAGACGCAAACCTTAGCATACGGGCACGGAGGAAGCAGCAACTGGGAGAAGAAGTTGGTCTGAAGGTCATTATGGTGGGCGAAGAGCTTGAGGACGGATATGATATGAAGCTCACTATCACACAAACCAAAAAAATATAGGTATGCGTTGGAAGTGTGAGTATGAACACGTTTGAGCTTCGCGATACTTAGATATATATATATAGAGTGAGGGGAGTCTATTTCTTTTCTTTGGCTTTGCTCCCTGTTTCTGCTAAGTGTGAGAGTTGAGAACAATTTTACTTCCGTCCTGAGTTATTTATATATAATTGGTATTGTTGATATTATTATTATCATTGTTATTATGATTATGATTATGATTATGATTCTTTTTATTATTATTATGATTTTTATTGTATATTATGGTTCATGTCCATCGATTGTCCAAATCCTCAAGTCACTCTAAGTGGCAGACACAATTTTATCGGCGAATCCAATTTTCTTCTAGGAAAAATATTTTAGTAAACACAAGCATAATGGCAAGCAAAAAACTTAAAATACGTATTTCGATCTGTTTAAACAGAAACTCTCAAGCGCCAGCAAATCAGGCTCAACAAACAACTCTCCGATGCCAAGAAGGAGGAGGCAAAGAAAATGGCCCTCCAACGCGGCACACAACCACAATACCAGGCATCGCCCGCCCCACGGTTGAATTCACCCGCACAGCAGTCATCTAACAGCAAAGGGGATGTGGGCGTGAATACTGGGACGAATACCGGGACGAATACCGGGACGAATACCGGAATTCCGTCGCGAATTGAGCACCTGAAGAACATCGAGGAGCAGGCGAGGATAGCGCGGCTGGCTGCGGTTGCCACGCCAACCGAAACCGCAAACGCAAGCGCAAACTCAAACTCAAACACAAACTCAAACTCAAACCCAACCGCAATTACACAGGCGAGTGCAAAGAACACTCCGAGTGCGAGCACTGCAGCAGAGTCCGCGGGGCTGACGGAGGCCCAGGCGCATGCCAGGCGGAAGGCTCAAGCACTCGCGATGATGCAGTTTCAGATGTCCAATACCGCCCCACCCCAACTATCACATCCACGCTCACAAGCACAGGCACAGGCACAGGCACAGGCACAGTCACAGGCACAGTCACAGGCACAGTCACAGGCACAGTCACAGGCACAGTCACAGGCACAGTCACAGTCACAGGCACAGTCACAGGCACAGACACAGCCACAATCACAGTCACAGTCTCAGTCACAGGCACAGCCACGCACACCGGGTATAGGTGATACAACAAGGGAGAATACGCGTACAGATACAAGTGACGGCATGGGTAGTGCGGCTGGGTCGAAGGACGTGCCGGTAAGGAGTGCGGGTGACATAGGACATCCATCTACTGAGGCCAAAAAACGCACCTTGGACGATATGCAGGGGGGTGTGCATGTCAGTGCAAACACCGGCGTACCTGAGAACACCAAGCGCTGGGCAACTGAGACAACTGAGAAGGGGGAGAGTACCATCACCCCTGAGGCCAGGTCGGCTGCTCAGGAACAAGTTAGTAGTATGGCAGGGTATGGAAACACCAGTAGTAGCCTTGTGGGCGGGTTAAAGCCGCAACAAGCCGACAGCGTGGGCAGTCGGAGTGACTTACAGTGCTCGAGTGTGGTGACCGTGGATCTCTTCCCGTCGTCGGGTTCGGCACAAACGTCAAAGAAACTTGGGACAGGTATGGGGGACGCGGAAGGGGATGATGCGAGTACTATGAATGGACTTAGCAATACTGATGCGGAGACGGGATGAAGCGATGCAGCGTGGAAAACGGGATGTTATGATCGCGGGAAACTATCTAGAAGGTGTCATACGAGAGATACTATTACAGCACAAAGAACTGCCACACAAGAGTCTGTAGTAAGTATAGAGGACATGTCGGATGAACCCACCGAGAGTTCTAGTGGGCTCAGCCGTGTTGGTACTGAGATGGGGCGAAGCGACGCTAAGAGCCCAACAGGCACTGTTTAGAACTTGTCATGTGGGGACTGCTGTTGCAGCACAACCACCACACGAGTCGGTGGCGGTCCTGGAGAGCATGCCAGATGAAGCTACTGTGCAGTATTGATGGGGTTGACAGTGCTAGAGTGTGGAGAGGTAGCGACGGCCGACTTGAAACCAGGGAGCAGCGAGACCCGACTTGCAGTACTTGTTGGGACAGGGGATGTATAGACATATGTGGGTACGGGTTTGTTATGCGTCCACACAGATGCCAACCAGTATTGTGTGGGATGTATCTCTGTTGACATCTTGCGTGATGCTTCGTGCTCCATCATACGCCAAGTGGACTAGTGAGCCAGGGTCGTGGATGTTTTCGGATGGCGGGCAGTTGTCTGAGTACCACACGAGTTCATAGTCAGGGTTCTTGCCTGGTTAGTACTATCAAACGGTACCACACGAGTTCACAGTCAGGGTTCTTGCCTGGTTAGTACTATCAAACGGTACCACACGAGTTCACAGTCAGTGCCTGGTTAGTACTATCAAACGGACCTTTGAATACAGACACTCCCCTGCCCTTCCGGAAATCAATGGACAGTTCCCTTGGACAGTATGATTATAATCCAGTGCAGCAACTCACAGCTGTAATATGTCACCACAATGTCTGGATATAGCAAAAAAACAAACAAAAAAACAGCTGTAACCACAACTGGATGCTTGGTAAGAAATCCAGTGCCACGAACACCCCACAGCGTTAATGTCCTCTCCTCACCCGCAAGTACGGACCTAGTAAGAGTTCAGTACAGCCACCACGGCTGCAACAGGGCCAATGCGTGTGTGGGGCGAACCATACTTCGAGCACAGAATTCACAGCTGTGATGTGATTGACCACAGGTGTGAGCTTGTCAATGGAAGAAGTCATGGCTTGGTGACCGGGATTGGTGTTAATGGTAGTGGTCGGATATTATGTCTTTAATTGTGTCACGTTTGGGAGCGGGTTCGGTGGCCACGCGCGCAGCAGCTTGTACGTCACCAGATTGAATGCTTGGGAAGCCTTGAGAGGTATGGTGACGATCAGCAACACTATATGAACGTGATGCGGAAACGGCCGAAAAAAAAAGTTTCATAGCGTTATGTATCTATGAATCGCATACAGGCATCGGTATATGCATGGGCGTATCAGATGCAATCCCCGTCATCCAGGATAACGCAGGTACTTATCTACGGAAATTAAGGTCTCGTCGCTGCAGATGATACTAGTATTATCATTCGGTGTGGACCTGGGCCGGGTCGGTCGCGACTGTTGGAAGTGCTTATACTGAGGCGGTAAGCTCAGACACACACCCCGCGCGCGCACACACACACAATAAATACCTCCTGGTTGAGGATTGATTAGAAGCAGTCTACAGAGATGGATAGATAGGCTTCGGACGACACAGCTTGAGGTCCTTAGAGCGAGGTCTTGAGCCGAATAAACAAATAATACTTAGCTACCCAGCATTTTAACGTGTTGTACTAATTTAGTGCGGTGGTAACTGGGGCCACTTAGCTAACCAGCGTTTTAACGTGTTGTACTAATTTAGTGCGGTGGTGACTGGGCCACTTAGCTAACCAGCGTTTCAACTAAACCCTAAACCCTAAAAAGGGGGCGGGGGTAATTGGGGTTCAAACCAGGCCTAGTTATAGGTGTGGGTGCTCGCGGGTAAATGGGACAGACGTCCAGAGAGCCGTGATAATGTGTCACTCCTTCGCACCTGACTGGCGATGGCTTGACAAATATCCCACACACACCTTCTGGCTACTGAAGAGTCCTAAATAACCACAAACCGGTGCACTTGTCTTGTCCAGTCCTTGCACAATGCTTTGAGGAGTCCTAAATAACCACAAACCGGTGTACTTGTCGTGTCAAGTCCTTTCACAATGCATTTGACGAATGTAAATAGTTTCCGTCCGTTTTCGTTGTTGTGCGGTGTCCTCCCACATGCGCATTGGGACATAACCTTCTAAATCCAACATTTGGAGGGATTGCACACACACGCCCGGACCATCGCGTCGTTACGCATATTCCATGGCAATACACTGGCTTTAAAATAGAAACTAGGCTTCATAGTTTCGTGAAGCTAGTAAGTACACTACTTTGGACATCTCAGTAGAGCATCTATATCATACCATACCGCTTGTTCGTGAACTTTAGCTCAGTGAAGTTTGTGAGCCCAGTACGACACAACGCCTGATCGATGTGACACAGATCGCTTGTTTGTACATGACGAGAGGAGACTCACACAGTCCTTCCCTAGAACATACACGACACACATATCGTTTACATTAACGGTTTGTGACATGTATATACCAAAACAACGCCACACGACCTTGTAAGTGACTGACTGACCAATAGACACTCCCCCCCCCCCCCACACACTCCTATATACACCATTCTGCGTACATCGCACACACAACGTCCTAAACACTGCCAAGGAAGCGTTTGCCTGATAAAATACTTCGGTGTCTTGAGCAAACGCTTGTTTCTTTTCACTTTGTCCCCTTAAGTTGCACTGCATAAACATATCACTAGTGCGACCCCGTGATGACTCACCAAATGATACTGTGCCACCACACCCCCTGACAGTCCGGAAAGCACATGATCGTTCACACACACACACACACCCACCCACACACACCCCCCCCCCCCCCCCCCC